GGGGGGGCCGGGCGGGGCAGAGCAGGGCCTGACAACAATGCAAATTTTGATAAACAGTTCTTGATAATCACTTCTCAGCAATTATTTGTTATTATTACAGTTTAACATTATAAAATTAACAAAAATAATATAAAACTCATATTCTGGCGAAATAGCCACATGGCAGCCGAAAACTGTATATTCCCTTCCTGTTCTCCCGCCCATTCGTGCATTCTTTCCAAAAATCGGGAATTTTTTAAAACACTACAGGACGCAGGACAAATTGTTGAAAAGCAGGACTGTCCCGCCAAAAGCGGGACATCTGGTTACCCTATTTGAGGTTGGTGTGAGCTGTGATGCCACAGCCCTCTATCAAGGACATAATGAAACTCTGTCTCAAAAAAAATAAAAAATAAAATAAAAGAACAAGTAGGGCAAACTGAGAGCAGTGGGGAATGAGACCACATGTAGTGAGAAGGGGATGGGGTCGAGCTGGCTAGGACGGAGATGGCCCTTGGTCTGGCCGGGTTAGGTCCTACTCAACCTTGACTTCATGTCTTCCATCCTCATTGTTTTGTAAATTTAGCTTTAACCTAAAAGTGTATATCTTGAATAGTTTGGGACTACTGATTTAAGAGATTACGTTGTAAATTAAAATGTTGTTATATGGATCATAAGTTATGTCAATTATTTATTATAGGTCATGGGTTATGATAATTACTGTTGTTAAGTGTTAATTACTGTTGTTTATGATATGAATTAGTACGGTTCTTGCTTTTAACTTTTATATATACACCTGTGATTTTAGAAAGAGAACAGTGTTGGAGAGGCTACTCTAACTGTTCTCCAGAACTGTTGGCCTTCTGACAAAGTTTGGTGGACCTATCCCAGGCTCTGCATGTTGGCCAATGGGGACAGGGGATGACCCTCTTTGGTAACAAAACCATCTAGGAAAATCGTCTTTGGCAAATAGATTTGCAAAAGAATTACCCAGCAAGTAAGAACATTTGTTTACCATTTCAAAAACAATAAAAGGCAGAACCCTCACTCTCACCTATGACAGTGGTGAAGGGAAGGTAGCAGAGAAAGAAACCCAGACAGGGCAGGGGCTCCGTGCAGTGGGTGAGCAGGGGGAAGTCAGCGCGAACACAAAGCTGTTCCCAGAAACTGTGAACTTTTGTATTTGAAAGTGGATGCTCCCCCTTCATTGTGCAACCAAATCTTTCTCCGCTTTCCATCAATACCAAATGACCTGCTTCTGAAGGTTTAAAGCCGAGCTCCTTCTTCTTTA